CCCACCCCCCAAACCAAAATTTTATTGCAGATTCGGGGTCCTCTCACCGAGCACAGTACGACCCCGCCCTCAAAAAAAAAATAAAAAAAATTCTAGGCTGTTTTTTGGCCCGCCCGGTTTGCCCGGGCGACCTGCCCGGGCCCCGCTCGGCCGGGCGGCGTCCGTACTCAGCAACAGACTCGAAAACAGTCCACAGAATATAAAGGCCAGGCCGATATCAGCAAGTCCCAGCAAGAACAAGCATATCGTATGTGGCCAGTACTCGCGAGTAGAAGAGACACTGTGCACTTTGGCAATAGGGAGCAGGTTGCGTTGCACTTTGAAAACGACCACGATCACTGCAGCTCTCTCTCTCTCTCTCTCTCTCTCTCTCTCTCTCTGTGTGTGTGTGTGTGTGTGTGTGTGTGTGTGTGTGTGTGTGTGTGTGTGTGTGACTGGCTGGAGCTGACCTTTGCAGCCGAGCTGTTGTTGGTGTTTTGTTTGTCATGTCGTCGTATTTCCCTCTTCTTTTGACTTCTTCAACAGTTCTTCAGCAATCAACGACTGGCCTACAGCCGACACCCTGAGGTGGGCACCAACCACTGCCCTCAAGGTACCTGTGGCGAAAGCAGACTATCCACTCACCCACACCAGACTGAAAACTCTTACAGACTGCAGGTTCACACCCCATCAAGCAAAACATCCCCCAAAAAAAGAACGGTCTGTCACAGCCAGAGAGGTCTGTTTGCTGGGCATTGCTCTTTTTTATTTTTATTTTTCTTTTCCCCACCTGACACCACAGCCGACGCCTGTAGTTATGACACCCGCCCGGGCTGACACCACGGCTGTTGGTACTTTCATTGCTTATTCGAACTCGGCGCATGTTTCTTGGCTCATTCGATACTCAAAAGCAGCAAAAAAGAGAGAAAATTTACTGCTTCTTCTGCTTCTTCTTCTTCCTCTTCTGCCTCTTCTCTGCCCTCCTCTTCATCCCCCTCCACCTCCCCTTTGTCAACAACATCCGAGCCATTTGCTGCAGCAACTGCAACTGCGAGACTTGGATGCGATGCTTCCACAGCCCACAGCCGAACCGGTGCTGTCCGCTCTGTAGGGGTGGCCCCTTACCATAGCCCACGGGTACTCCCGAACACAAAATCCCCAGCAGCCTGAATACTGACTGACCTCTCATGTCATTCTAAGAATGGTCTGCTCCGGTGCGCTTACTCTCTCTCTCTCTCTCTCTCTCTCTCTCTCTCTCTCTCTCTCTCTCTCTCTCTCTCTCTCTCTCTCTCTCTCAGAATGACCTGCTCCGCTTTCTGCATGTCCCACAGATCTACGTTGCAACATTATCCAGCGATTAATCAAAAAGCAGTGGTGCCTAGTTGTGAACCATCTGACCCCAGTACCTTGGTGGGCTTGGTATAATGAATAACCTTAGACTCCAACCCCCTGCATTCCACAAACAAAAACTTCAAAAAGTAAAAAGATTCAAAAGAAAGAATACAATCGCTGACAGTTTCTCAATTCTGAGGAGCTTCTGACTCATACACACCTGACAAGCAAGCTGCCACTTGCGAACAAATGCTTCTTCTTGTGGTCTCTCGAAGACAACAGTGCTGTGTCCAAACGATCCACGCAATCATCAGAATGCAAATATACGGCTATCCATGCGTCATTTGGAAGGAAAAAAAGTTAAAAAAACTTAAAAAAAGGTATGCGTAAGTTGGGTAACATTCAATGAATCAAAGCTCATTCAAAATGATTCAAGTTGATTCAACTACATTGTAGTACATACTACACTGTCATATGTCTGCTATTTTTTGCTTATAAAGAAGTTAAAGTGGAAAAACTTGCGAAAAAGAGAGCTGGACTGATGGGCAGCCCAGTAGTATAGATCTTGCTGTTTGAAGCAAAGGCTCAAAAAAAAAGACGAGAGAAAAAATAGGAATAAGAAAGGGAAACAGGAAAAGAACCCTAAACCCAAAATAATAAAAAAGAATTGTGCTGCTCTGGAATCCGAACTCGTGAGTTCAAAATTCAAAATTCGAACTTCGAACTTCCGAAGGGGAAACGGGAGACTACCGTCTTCACCCGAATACAAGGTACGGTCATTATAGTTGTATGTATTTGGGGCAACTTCGAGTCTAGATACAGCAATAATGACCGTACCTTGTATTCCGGTGAAGACAGTAAGGGGTCGAGAACAGTTGAGGTGAAGAAAGCGCAATCCTGCTTTCTTTTCATTTTCTCTCTTCAAATTTTAAAAGCACTCAAGCAGCTATAACCACTGTAAAGCGTGCGTTCTATCCCGCAGAAGACACCAGGTCCTTTTGGACGTCTCTTAAACTTGCAATGGTACAGACAAAGAGGAGATCAATATGGCCCCTGTGCATTAAAAGACGACACACATGAATCTTTTTTTTTTTTTTTTTTTTTTTTTTTGACACACATGAATCAAGAAATGGTTTAAATTAAATTTCCAAGGAATCGAAGTCCACAAAACATTAAAATTTCCAAAAAACCATGGTGGAATGACGGCCGACGACCGTAGAAAAATGGCGGCAACATACCTGCTCAACGAGTTCAGCATGGCTCCGAACTTCGCTTCTCGAAGCCGAAGGTAAAGGAACTGTGCATTCTTCAAGCAATCCGCCACCTATACGAGTGCACGCAAAAAATGAGTACATAGTCTACAGATGCAGAAAAGCATCTATGCAAAACGGTGCCCACGTGGGAGGAGGTGGTAGATGTCCTACATCAAGTGGGTAGATTCTGTAAACCTGCTTGTACATCCGTCCTTGAGGTCTGATGGGTAGTTAGCATGGTAACCGCGGACCCGGACACCGGACACTTCCGGGCTGTCTTCCGGACCAGTGTCTGGACCGGTCCGGACTGTCCGGTGATCCG